AGGATCCTTGATGGCTGACTCGGAAGAAGAATTAGATAGACGCCGCAACAGAGAGAAATTTCGCCGTGAAAGAAGTGATCATGATGGAAAAAGACGACCTGGTGACAAGCGAGAGCCCTTTGATGATAGGGTCACTCTACCTACCTCAAATAACTGTCCCGGGTTTGTTGGGACGAATACGAATAGCTATAGCCGGGGTGAACGACGACCTTACAATTCAAACATAGCGACGCGTGAAAGACTTTCCCCAACTGGTCGGGAACCGCCTTACAAGAAGCCAAGAAGAGACTGGAACGATGATTTTACTAATAGGAACTCTTACAGGCGACGCGACAATAGACAGGGTGGAGTAAATATTACGGATGGGGGAACTTGTACCGAATTTGATCAAGCGTGCTTTAGAGCCCCTTTGATGCCTTTTAAACGTTTTCTTGACCCACTTGACGACTTTGTAACCATGGAAGATGCGTGCGAAAAATATCGAACATACAAGACTGCGTTAACAAAAAAGCAGATCGATGATTTTTTTGAAGCTCACAAATCTGAAGAATGGTAAGCCTCTTTTTGACTAATCTTATACCATGGAATATGTATACTAATAAATCTACCTTAGGTTACGCGAGAAGTACCACCCAGATTATGCGGAAGCACGCAAGGTCACAGAGGAGAGCGCGGTTCGCCATCGACTCTCGATATTCACGGAATTATTTCACAAGGGATACATTGACGGACAGCGAGTTCAAATGGATAACAGCGAAGCCCTTATTAAGCTTATGGACACTGTTGTTATTCGTCTTGAGGGTGGTACAGACGAAGATTTGCGAGTACTCGAGGAGGATGAGCGTCGGCGACGTGGAGAAAGCCCGAGAAAGCACAGTTCTGATGGTTCAGATGATGAAGCAGAAGAGCAGCAACGCAATTATAAAAAGGTACGATACTTGAACTATCCGTGCATTTTATCACTATTCATTCTTTTTAAAAGTATATGCGTATTCGTCCTGATTGGCTCCATTTTAAATCTTCGGTTGGATACTTACATTTATCTTAACCATTTTGCTCATTCCAGTTTGATTCTAACAGTCTGCCATTATGTGTTTCAGGATTTATTATGCTAATTTGTCATACATTACATTCTATAGTGAACCTTTAATGTATTTTTAACTCGCCATC